CAGAGTGTCAACAAACCAGAAAACCGAACACGGCAAAGTACGATGTAGTAGTGTGCTGTAGTGCTGAAGTTGCAATGATGATTACGACGGCGATGATTTCACGCGGTGGCAGCTGACTGATTCGCCACATGTGACAAGGCAACTGATGTTGTTTTTCCACAGCACATTACACGCACTGAACACACTGAACACAATATGCAGAGACTCAGCAGGAGCTGATGAACGACTGACCAAACAGCAAGTGAGAGAGAAATAAGTGTACTTGCCTCCTGTGGGAATTCTTTTACCGGCCTAGCAGGGGACTAGCCGCTATCACTATTTCACTCAAAAAAGTTTATCTTATTTTTACTAAATCATCAGCGACGCATCAAAATCACCAAATAAAGTGACTGAAAAATAATTTAAATAATAATGAGAAAAGGTAAATTAATAAATCACAGTTTGACGTTAATGACGACAGAGTTCCGGTCGTCAGAGTTGATTTGATCATCACAGTATTCCGTTTCACTGCTTCTTCTGCTGCTGTACCGCGTACAATGCACCTGACCACCACTTTCAATTGCCAGTGTAGCACCTTCAGCATTGTTCAGCCTCCAAAGATCTTTCCGCCTTCCCTTGAACTTGATTCTAGTACCAGTGCTGCGAAGTTCGTCAAATGCCACTTTTTCAGGAACTCTTTTTTCTGGCACCTCCACTTTTTGCTCTACTTTAGGCAACTTTGCCAACTCCAAATCAAGCCAGTTGGAAAAGAGATCGTCCATCAGCTGGGATAGTTTAGCTCTAAAGCGCTTCAACTTTGAGACTTTTGTTTGGGGAGACTGTTTGTCCGCTTCCCGTGCACTTTCTCCCACTTTTTGCTCAATGCCCAGTGCAATCTTTAGCTTGCTCCAGAACTTCTGCCGCTCCTCTCGTCCGGCGGCGGCGTCCCACTGCAGGTAGATGCGCGTCTTCAGCAGGTAATCAAGCTGCAGAGGTACCGACAGCCCCGGCTCCAGCTGCTCCAGCTTGATCAGCACCAGCCCGTCGGTTCGTCCGCGCAGATTCAGCGAACTGTGGTGAACGGCCAGGTCGGTCTCGTAGCGGCACCAGGGGCTGCGGATGAAGGCATTGGAGATGACGAGAATGACGCGTCGTGAGACGCGAATCGACTCGAGGATGCACTCGCTGATCGGCCGACCGGCGATAAAGTCACGATCGTAGACGCACAGGCGCACTCGCTGACATCCGCTAGAGTTTCCATTTGATGATGAGGAAGAAGTTCCATTGGAGCTACTACGCTCAATGTTTGGCACCAGCTCGCTGAAGATCCACTCCGAGTCGGCGACGTTGTAGCTGACAAAAGCGTCGTACTCGTACTTGGAGCCGTCTTCATCTTCATCTCCCCGAGCTGCACTCCTACTCCAAAAGTACGTCGCAATAAGCTGATTGAGCTCGCCGTAGTAGACAAAGGCCACTGCAAGGACGGCAAATGAGATCAGAAAGGCGGTGAGGGTGAAGAGAATGACCAGGTAGCTGTTGAGCAGCAGGTGACCGGCCCGCCGACTGGTCAGCAGGCGTCGGGCGCACCGGCGACTGTACTGCTGCAGATTAGATCGCCTACTGTTTGTTTTGCTTTTATCACCATTACTAAATTCTTCTTCATCTTCCTCCTCTCCCAGGACACAGTAGTACTGCTCTCGGGAGTGCAGAGGATTCGCCGAGTCCATGTACAGAATGGGCTTTTCCAGCGTCGAGGCGAGCCAGCCGCCGACGAGCACTTCCGAGCTGCAGTCACAGTCCAGTGGATTGCCGCCAAAACTGAGGTTGGACATTCGGTAGAGATCCTCCATCATCGAGGAGCTGAGCGTCTGCAAGCGGTTGCTGCGCAGGTCAAGCTCGACCAGCTCTCCATTGCCGGCAAAGATGGAACCGTTGGTCCAGGGAACTATTTGATTTCCAGAAAGATTCAGCGATCGAAGTTCGCCAAACTGGGCAAAGTGCTCCGCCGAGAGGTGTTCCAGGCGATTGCCGCTCAGGTCCAGCTCCTGAACGCGCTCGTGCAGGCGAGCAAAGATGAGCGACAGGTCGTAGCTGAGCAGATTACAGCTGGCCATCTTCACCACCTCAACCGATTCGAGGCCAAAGAAGGAGTCCTCATGAGTCTGTCGAAGCGACTCAATCAGCAGTCCATTTTCACTTAGATCAAGCAGTCGAAGCGACTTGAGGAAGAAGAAGGTGAGGTACTCGATGGAGGTCAGGGCACAGCCACGCAGGTACAACTCCTCAGTTTTGTGCAGCCCCAGAAAGGCTTTGTTTGGCAGCGGATCGAGGTGCTGGTAGGAGAGGTGAAGGACGCGAAGATTTAGGCCGACAAAGGTGCGCGGGGCAATGGTCAACTTCACTGCTGTTGTTGCTAAAGGGTCACCAGACAGGTCCAGGTAGGACAGCTTTGGGAGATTGTAGAAGAGCTCAGAGCGAATGATGTGCAGCCGATTGCCCGCCAGACTCAGAGTCACCAGCGCCTCCAGCCCATCAAAAGCGTGATCGGCAATGGCGGTCAGTGGATTGCCGTCC